ATGCCAGGTTTGAAACTCGGTGGATAATGTCCCCTCCCCAACTCTTCTAATACCAGAAGTTTTAATTGCTGCAACCAGTAACGGAACCAAGATTTTCACTTAAGGAGATTCAAAATATAAAGAAGTGTAAAACATCTACTATATATGGTGTAATTTATTGACGAAGGGAATTTAGATGAACCCCCTTCTAATACCCTAGCTCCACCCATGGCTGCAACAATGATAAATTTCACCAAAAAAGTGACTTGTGATTCCGAATTAGTAGCTGCGTTTTCCAATCTATGCAGCAATGAAGGGCTGGAAACGTACCAACGCAAAGAAAACTGTCGACAGGAATGATTTGAGTGCAAAGAGAGCAAAGGCCGCTCCGACTACCGTCACACAAATCCTGGCTATTGGTCTCGGTATGGCATCCTAACATCACCAACAACAACAACGCCTCAGTACCAAACAAGTTGGGGATGACATCTAACATAAAAAAAAAAAAGAGTATATGCAATTCCGTAAATGGATTGACATGTTCTTGTCTCATCATTATGACTTACAGGTACCATGTTGGTTCCAGCTTCAACTCCATCCTTTCCAACTCTCCATGCAGTTTGAAGAACTATTGAAATTTCAGCACACATTGGATTAATCATTAGACTACATGTCAATAAAATAAAGCAAAGAAAAACGTACTGTTCTATACAGAGCTAACTAAAATATGTTCTTTTACCTAACTAAAACTTTCTATAATTCTCTCCCAAAACAGGACGCAAAAGGATGCAAATAGTATTTTGTTCTTTACGTCCAAATGTGTGGGGAAAAAACCCCTCTTTTATGGAGTACTAACTTCCAGTACAATTGCCCACAAAGACCCTGTGCATTGGCACTACCTAAGGATAAGAATTGAAGTACGAAAAAATATGTAAAAGTTCTTTCTCCATTTTGAAGTTTGTTCCTCCTGAAGCATAAGAAGTGCGTGTCTCAATGCAGAAAGCAACAGCAACCATTATGGTCAAACTGCTTCTGAATACAATGATGATTTTTAACGCACAAGTACAAACAACTCTATACAACTAATATGATAGCATCCATAACCAAAGTAAAAAACTTCCTCCAATACCACCGAGAAATACTGAACAAAAAGGTTAATACGCCCAGTGTTGTCAAAGGCACGTTAAGTGAGGCTCAAAATATGTTGAGCACTTCACCTCACTTAATGCGTGCTTCAGTATCGTCATCAAGGCTCTAAGACATACAAACCTTGCCAAGGAGCGTTTCTTGAAGAGGTGACACTAAAACAATTAATATTTCACTTTATTGTTTTTTTTTCAATTTCTTTATCCATATATTGTTATTCATGCTTATACTTATTAGTCTTGGTCTAAACATATATATTTATATTCTTCCTCCATTTGCGCCTTTTTCCATTGAAGTTCACATTTTATGTCCGCTATTTCCACTTTGTGCTTAAAGCTCCGACGGACTTAGAGCTTTTTTACGCTTTTCGCTATTGATAACACTGGACATGCCTAACTGATTCAACTCCTTCCTAGTTCTTACTAGTACTATCACATGATTCTCAAGTTGATAACTTAATAATCCAGCATGGTCTTTTAATACAAACAAGGTGTTCGCTGCAAGTAGGTGCTATCACTATTGAGGAGTAAATATATTTTTCCTAACTACTTCTCAAGCAATTTTAGTGAAGATTCTGATAAATTTTCCAAGTTTTAAAGCTAACGCACCCGTTATGGATGACACTTCCCAAACATTTTTAAACGTTTAGTTATGTGATTATAGTACTTTTTGTTCAAGTATGCACATTTTACTTCAAAATTTTCTACGAATTAGTGTTCTAACGCACACTAAAATTAGGTGTGTTACCGACCCTTTGTCCTCTAATTCAAAACCCCAACCATTTCTATTTCTTTTCCACTAGTAAGGAGTACATGATACTGCATATAAAATCTTAAAGTCATATTTAGTCGAGGTACGTGCAAGTTGATCAAGATGGATTATCAAAATCTGCATACCTCTGAGCCGAGGGTATATTGGAAACAACCTTTGTACCTCTGACGTAACGATAAGGTCTGTCTACACTCTACCCTCTCTAGACCCACTTTGTGTAACTACACTTTTTTTTTTTTTTTGTTTCCCACCTGGTGTCCAGATCTCACATTGGAGTTTCGACTAAATTCAGATCGCGCAGTGCAGGGCCCATTCGGGGGTGGCGCTCCCAACAATATTTTCTCCATACCCAGGGGTCGAACCCGAGACCTCTAGTTAAGGGATGAAGCACTCCCACCAGTGCACTGTCCATGTTGGTTTGTGTAACTACACTTATTATGTTGTTATTGTAGCTTTCCAAAATCGCCAAACGCTAGCTAAAGAATACTCTAATGAACTCTGAATAAAGCAAATAAACAATTCATATAGTCAAAATTCTTCATAATTGTTTCTATACAACATAATTTAAAGATTGTACCTTTGAAGAAATTGGATTGAGCTGCAAAAATTAAGGGTGTTGCTTGAGACTTGAATTGTCTAGCAGACAAAGATGTTTGCTTTTTCAACTTTAAAAGGGAATTTGAAGAAAGAAATGTTTGATTTATTCTGTAACATTTTGGGGATTGCACTGAAAGAAAGGCAACTGTGGAAGCCATATATATATATACAAAAATTTATACTATGAATTTTATGAGCAGAAATCAGATATATTGTACTGACATTTTTTGTGAGGCTACAAAAATTGATTCTTGAAATTGAATTTTACAGAATTAATAAGATTGAAAGAGATGGAAAGGAGACATGGGTTTTTTCGGGTCGGGTCGGAGGAGTCCACTTTGGCTAAAAGCCCATTATGGATGGGTTATAGGCCCAGTTTTATGGAAGGGCCCATTTTCAAAAATCATGGATAAAGATTTTTTTTTTTTGGGCTTTGTTGGGGCCTATTCTTCTTTGACAAAAATGAGAACTTTTATAAATAGAGAAAAATTTCGGAAATAGCAAAAATAATGAACATAATAAGGCTCTATAGCTATAATTCATTTTGTTATGGAAGTTGCGGTTTGTATATTTTGCTTGCCCGTTTGTATATTCCGTTTGCGAAAAAGGTAAGTCTATACAAATGGAGGTTGCGGTTTGTGTATTTCGCTTGCCCGTTTGTATATTTCGCTTGCGAATATACAAACAAGGTAAGTATATATAATCTCTATATTTATACATTTAGGAATTCTTTAGATCTCCGTTTGTATATTTCACTTGTCAATATACAAATAGGGTAATTTATTAATGTTTATTCATAAATCGTATACAAATAGCTAGGGTAAGCATATACAAAATTATGAATGTATACAATTACGAAACCGAATAGCAGAATTTTGCGAAAATTGTATTCATGGACTAAAAATAATTGAAACTATATGTTTGCCATTTCACATAATTTTCCCTTATAAATAGCTATGCCCCCAAGAACAAGTTATGACCATATTATTGAGCTTTCAAAACATAGAAATAATGTGCATAATTCATAAATGTGCTCTTTTAACTTGGTTTTACGGATATTTATGCACTCCAGCTTTGGATGTGCACTAGTAGACACTTGAACTTGTATTAAGTTGAACAAGTTGACACACACATCCTACGTGATATAATACACGAAGAACACTCACATAGGAAGCGAATTGCCACGTAAAACGCTACGTAGAACATGAATTTCCATTGCGTATCTTCATATATCCAATGCATATTTGCTTAAACTTGTTTGTGATATACATGTGTAAATAAGTTCAAATCACCTCCAATATTCCTCAAATTTTTAACTTGGGGTTTTTAAGCATCAATTTGATATAATAGCTTAAAAAATAAAACCATTATTACATATTATATTATAATATATATATATAAAACTTAAATTCATCAATGTTCAAAATGAAAGAAATGAATGCTAACTTCACAACCACCAGCAAATTGATATATTACCAAATGGGTTTCACATGGCTCCCTCAGTCCTTAGATCCATTTGCTGGCCAAAAATCAAGAATCAAAAGTATATTTTCGATAGAATTTTTTTATTTTTACGTATAAGAAATTTGAAAAAATTATTTTTCTTCTATTTATTTTATAAGTGGTCAAGAAATCTTAATTCCCCGTCCGGTGCAAACAGGGCGGAGTTAAATGATCAAAGAGGTTCAATTGAATTTCCTAAATCAAAATATTATATTGTGAAACAAAGAAAAAAATATTATTTTTGCATATAGTCATTTAATTTATTATAAGTTGATCACCTGCGTAAATTAAATGCATTGTTTTGGCCCATACTTCCCAGCTAAGCTTGTTAGTAAATGAATTAAAGCTAGCAGAGATTTCCTAAAAAAATAAATATTAGTGGTAGTAAATATTTGGGTTGTATTTGATACGACGAAAGTCATTTTCGAATTTTTTAATTTAAAATAAAATAAAATATAGTATTAGGAAGGAGAGCATGATTGCATGAAGCAACGATAAAGTTATCTTTATACGCTCCTTATTTCAACTGAGTACTATTAGAATCAACCATTGATGATGCTCAGGGTCGGCTACCTACATTAACCCCTTTAGATGTGATCCTTCTTTGAATCCTACATAAATATGAAATGCTTCGTGCATCAGATTATTATTTTTGTCGATAGTATTTTGATGGAATATTTTAATATCATAGATTGATAATAATGTAAGTGTTGGTTAGAGTAATGTTATGACCTAACAAGAATTTGGGATAGTTGTGAAAGAAAATGACTTACTTATTTTCAAATTAGAAGTACTTTTTTTGTTCAAAGAATGACCATATAAAAAAAAGACCCATGCATGATATTATTATATATTGCATTGAATCCCATTTAATGTTTGCATCCCTTCTCCACCAACATACCAATACATTTTTACCTATAAAAGGATACTCAAGGAATACACTTAGGTACCAAAATAGGAAAAGGCAAAAGATATTAAGGGTGACAAAAAAGTATATTAAAGAGATGGCTAATAAGTTGTCAATGGTTTTTATTTTTCTTGGTTTATTAGCAATTGTTTGTACCACAAGAGCTAGAGAAGTGCCAAGTGAGAAAGGACTTGTTGATCAAAAGAATTTTGTGGGGTTTGGTGGTGTTGGAGGATTTAGTGGTGTTGGGGGTGGGGTAGGTGGTGTTGGTGGACTTGGTGGGGTAGGAGGTCTTGGTGGGGTAGGGGGTGGTGGTGGACTTGGTGGATTAGGTGGTTTGGGTGGTGGTGGTGGACTTGGTGGATTAGGTGGTTTGGGGGGTGGTGATGGTGGACTTGGTGGATTAGGTGGGTTGGGGGGTGGTGGTGGTGTTGGGGGACTAGGTGGGTTGGGTGGTGGTGTTGGGGGACTAGGTGGGTTGGGTGGTGGTGTTGGGGGACTAGGTGGGTTGGGTGGTGGTGTTGGGGGACTAGGTGGGTTGGGTGGTGGTGTTGGGGGACTAGGTGGGTTGGGTGGTGGTGTTGGGGGACTAGGTGGGTTGGGTGGTGGTGTTGGGGGACTAGGTGGGTTGGGTGGTGGTGTTGGGGGACTAGGTGGGTTGGGTGGTGGTGTTGGGGGACTAGGTGGGTTGGGTGGTGGTGTTGGGGGACTAGGTGGGTTGGGTGGTGGTGTTGGGGGACTAGGTGGGTTGGGTGGTGGTGTTGGGGGACTAGGTGGGTTGGGTGGTGGTGTTGGGGGACTAGGTGGGTTGGGTGGTGGTGTTGGGGGACTAGGTGGGTTGGGTGGTGGTGTTGGGGGACTAGGTGGGTTGGGTGGTGGTGTTGGGGGACTAGGTGGGTTGGGTGGTGGTGTTGGGGGACTAGGTGGGTTGGGTGGTGGTGTTGGGGGACTAGGTGGGTTGGGTGGTGGTGTTGGGGGACTAGGTGGGTTGGGTGGTGGTGTTGGGGGACTAGGTGGGTTGGGTGGTGGTGTTGGGGGACTAGGTGGGTTGGGTGGTGGTGGTGGTGGACTTGGTGGAGGAGGGGGGTCGGGTGGTGGTTGTGGATCTTGTAGTGGTGCAAGTCTTCCAAAGCCATGAGACCATGAGAAGAATATTTCATGAGTTCATTTTATAATTTGAAGTTATATTTTTCATGCAAGTTTGGGTATTAAAGTTCATTAAGAAAGTAATTTTTAATATTTTTTTTTGTAATTTTGGTTTGAGTTTGTGTGAACTTTTTGCAATGTATTAATTGACATATTTTCCAATTATTCCTAGTGTTGAATGTTGTGTTATTTATTATTACACGGTATTAATTTAATAAAAGATTTACCTTTCACACACCGTTAACGTTTTATTCTTTTCTTGTATTTTAATATTGATCGATTCAACTAAAATGATTTACCTACTTCAGTTGTTGTTTTTATTCATCATTTTATCTCAACTAAAATTAGAATGAGGTATAAAAATGATAGTGAATAAGTAGATCCAAGTGATATATATATTTTTTTAATTACATGACACCTATAAGTGAGACCACAATATTAACCCTTGTCTTTGTTCTTTTTTAAATGCTTGAGAGACTTCTTTCAATGTCAATGTTTCGGGTACTACTAGGCACAACACAGCAAGAAGTCGTTCTGCTCTGTTCATCTACCCCTAACAACAAGAAGCAAGAGGCGTGCTAAAGTTCAAATCCGTCACACATAAATGTGATTAGCAAAATGAAGTATTACAAATGAGGAGTGAATTATTTTTGCGCATGGTCACCTCTCATCGAAAGTCATTCAGGCTTATACATTTGATCTCATACAAATAAAGTCTTTAAGGCTTAATTAGATGAAAAATTATTTTGTATAAAATTGATCTAGATGAGATGTTATAATTGTTTTTTTTATCTCATGCTAAAAACTTGTATATTTGTATAATTTTTGTCCAAGCGTTATTTTTTGCAAAGCAATTGTTGATTGCGATTTGGAACAGTAGGTCGAGCTTATGATTTCTTCTTTGTGTTTTTATTCATCAATATAAAGGTCATGCTATCGTACGACAATTTAATTTATTTTTTTTTAAAAAGTTGTAAATGACCATATCAGTCATTAACTATTTCCACACTGCGATTTTCATAATTCTGCAAGAATATGCAATGCTTAATTAATTTGGAAAGATCTACACATGATATTTTAGTGACTGAAATTAAGGGTGTCAAACAAATGAGTTAGGTTAAATTTAAACGGATTAAAATGAGTTGAATTAATAACCTGCTAAAAAATTTATTAAAATGAACTAAAAAAATGAGTCATAACTCATAACTCAACTCGCTCAATTCTTGTTAAATTTTAATTTGTTAGCTTGTTCTATAATTTTGTAAGTACCTAAAATCAACTCTCTTTTTTTTCTTTCTTGTGGCTATAAATGATATATCAAACAAAAAAATATATTGACAAACTTTCTTACGAGTCAATTTGGATGACATATCAATTTAAGATGAGATGAATTGAACGAGTCAATAATAAATGGATCATTCTCAAACTTGTTCGAATTGGACAGATCATATCTACCACCATTAGCCAAAACTCTTTGACATCACCCTCAATGATTGGAGACATGAAGTATGTCTACCACAAAAGTTACTCTTTATTCCGAATATTCTCATTCCTAATCTTAAGACAATATTCGGAATAACCTCATTCGGAATCTTCAACATTCACATAAGACAGTATTTAAAACTGAGCTTACTGCCCAAAGAACCAAATATAATCACAGACCAAGAACACTTAAACATCTCATGTGCTTTGAGCACAACACATCAACAAGAAAAGAGAAACAATTATAGATCAAAGAGAGCACTTCTGTGCTTTGTTTTTTCGCAATTTCAATACCAAAGGGTATTATAACTCTATTCTATGCATGAGCACTGTTGCATATCGATGATCAGGTATTTAACGTCAATTACAGAAGGACAAACATTGAGCATGGCGAAATACGTCTCCTCCTTCAGCTATGATAACCGCAACAAAAATGTAAGACAGAAAAATGGTACTGAGTAATACTACATTTTTTTCAGTCACTTTGTGCCTCCACCATCAGACATGAGAGATGCAGCAGCTGCAGCTGCAGTAGGAACAACCCCTGTTGAGACACCGGGTTTTGACAAGTGAAGGAGCCTGAAAAACAAAAGAAACCATTTGTATGTTTCACCAGATGATCATATATAATACCAGGTACAACTAGCCAATTCTTATGGACAACAAACCAATATAAAGATGCTTACGGTGCAAGATATTCACAGAAGGACGATACAGATGCAACAACTTCATTGTAATTTTCAGATGAAGCTGGTGCGGTCACTTCAACTAGCTGTATGCCCGGAGTCACAGGCACTGCATCATCGATAGCATGAGGTTTTAACATCTTGTTGATGGATGAAACTGTTACAGTTATCTGGGCACCTCTTTGGAAATGAAATGCAAAACCGACTCTCAGCTGCTCATGGTCTAGCTTGTAGCCAAGTGAATAAAATAAGCGTAATGCATTCTTGCTTATTTTGCTTTCTTGCATTGGTCTCACCAAGACTGAGATTTGTTCAGCACCAGCACCTCTCATCGGACCACCAACATGTCTAACAGTCCTATATTTAATCACATAAAAAAAAACTTAGGCTTCGCGTGCCCCAAGAGATAGGCGCAGGACGAACTGGATCTCTTACCATGCAGGTTCTGGCTGCTCAAGATCACATAAGAGCCGTATGTCTGATGCTACTAAGCCTGAGAATGGTAAGCAACAGATAACATGGTTAAAATAACCCAAAGACAAAACGAGCAGGAAAGGAGAAAAGGAAAAAATGTGAGAATGCATAAATGATTTTTACACAAGATATGACATGTGATTGGAGTATAAATAGTTAATCATACAAGCAATATTTGGTCCATTTTATGCTTCTCAATTAGGTGAAAACTAGATATCAAGTGTGAATCCTCACTTTTGCTCATTTTGTCTAGGTAATGTCGCACGACATGCTAGAAAGCAATTGGAGAGGATTTGGGCTGTAAAAAACTCAAAGATCAGGTGCTCAGGCCACCGAAACAACTTGAAGTACACAATTGTGCAACCTGAGAACCAACATTTTGCAAACACAAGGGAGTGAGTGTTCCCTTGCACGCCCTGCTGCTAATTGCACACTACCTAGTGAATGAGAACTGTAAGTGCGCAATTTCGGAATTTCAAGTGGTTTGAACCCTAACCTCTCAAGTCCTAATACTCATCCTAAGCTAGGATCCTTAAGTTTTTGCACGACCCTTGACAGCATAGAGCAGGGAAGAGAGATCCAACACTAGAATTAGAGTTCAAAGGAAGAGATTGAAGGTTTGAGGAGTTTTTCTTCTCATATTTTACTCTCTTTGTAATTTTTGTGATTTTAATACTTCATTATTTGGATTGAACGCCACTATAGAGTAACTTTCTGCTAGTTGGATTTAGACGGATATTGAGGGTCTTCCGGAAACAGCCTCTCTACCTCCACGAGGTAGTGGTAAGGTCTGCGTACACTTTACCCTCCCCAGACCCCACCTAGTGGGATTTCACTGGGTATGTTGTTGTTGTTGTTGGATTTAGACGGATATTATAATTTTAACTCTATGGATTAATTCTCTCCCTACATTTATTATTAATTTGATTAAAACCATTTTTTCTGCAACTCAAACTTCTGGTCAAGAGAGGTCGTTGGACTCCATTATTTTCCCAATTACGTTTGAATGATCATAATTTGCTTTTTTCCTTGTCTAACCAAGAGGAGAAATCAGTCTTAAACATACTTATGAATTGTGATGATGTGTAGACAACCACAAGGGTCTATATCTATTTGTGGATTCAAGGTTAATTAATCAACCATTTTCCATATTTAAGGCACAATGATACCTTGACTAATTGTATAATAAAAAGAAATACACTTAGCCAAGAAGGTTATGGTAGTTAGATGTAATCGAGATATACGCCTGTGACTTGGAAGGTGATTGGCTGAAGGTGCTCTGAATTTAAGGTTTTCTGATTCCTTAGATATTACTATAAGCGAGCCAAAGGGCGGGTCACAGACGGATTTCTTGGTTATAAAAAAGAAAAGAAAAAAGATATTACTATAAACGAGAGGAATAATTAAGGTCATACATATTGAGTGTAATAGAGAGAGGCACTTATAACTTAGAGATCAGTATTGAATTGGCGGACAATGAACACCATAGACTAATCATAAGTGAAGTCTAGATTCTACTCGTCCTTAATGAACTGATGCATACTCTTTCACCATTGTTCATGTCATAAAAACTCTTATTTATATTTTATTTTAGTCATAAACATTCCGCCTGCTTATCTGATTACTCAAATAGTAATTGAGCAATACTAATTAGCATAGTAGAAACTCAATCCTTGTGGGATCAACATCTGTCATACTACCTTTAACAGAAAACGAGCATTGTTTTAATACTCCGGTGTTACACTCGTCAACATGTCAAAGAATCACATGTACATCATCGCAAAGAATCACATCTGTATCATCGACAAAACCATGATAGGTAACACTTTTGTAGAAAACAAGGCACTCAACAAGTTAATGAGCAAAAACCATGTGGTCTCGACCTATAAATCAGATGTACTGAGAGTGAAACATACTTGAACCTAATTCCATTCAATAATTGACATGCAGCACTGCAGTACAACTAGAATAAGATGGACAATAGAAAAAAAGAAAGAAAATATCAGCTATATACAAACTCTAAGGTGAGAAAACCTCCCTACGAATGCATAGATGGTTGCGAGCATTTGCCTCAATCACGTCAGTACATACATGACCATTGGGTTAGTTCCTAGTTCCATAATAGTTCAAAGAGAAAACACACTTACCTAGGTTTGGAACACTTTTAAGGCACAGTTCATGGATCCTTAAGCTTTGTTTATGTACACCACAAAGCCCTTGAAGCAAAATTTCCAGGGCCTCAACATGCTGCAAGTATGATTAGCACTGTCAAAATCTTTTCAATAATCAAGTGCCAAAAATTGTTTCATTAAGTGCCGTAGTATAGCAGGACCACTTTTTACAAGTAGCA